TGTTGGAGTCGCACCAATATTGGCGTGAGATCGTTATAGAACTAAAAATACAGCAAATGAAAATGTTAAAATTGCTGAGAGGTGAACAGGAGGGGGAGGGGAGAATTGGAAGCAAGCCGCATGTGGTGCTACTGCTATAATACGCATGATCCAACGATGAAAGTGCGCTCAGGATGAAAATGGTTTTGGTTTTGCGGGGTCTCTTTATTTAGTCAAAAATTCTTCCGAGTTCTTAAAACCCTGACGTGGGCTCTGGCGCAGGAGTCAAAGTCTAGGCCAACTACGAAAATGAGTACCATGACTCAGAGTGGAATTCAAGGTCATGGCGTAACTCGAAAAGGTTTGATGACCCCAGTAAAAGAAGGAACGCTACCGCGATAAGTAAAAACAGAGCGAGCAAAGACAATCGAACAATTAAACTAACCTTTGTTCCCTCCTCCAGATTTCCTTTCAGCTCATGGAAAGAGTCAGCAGCAGTGGCCAACGTTTTCAGCACACGCTCTCTTTCTGCACCCGTACCTGACCCGGATTTTTCACTAGTGAAGCGAGTATTCCACGTCTGAAAGCGCCTTACATAAACTTAGTCCGAAAAAAATGACTCATGGGGCAGAAACAAGTAGAGATTTATAAAACTTGTGCTCCACATTACCTGAACTTCAGCCATAATGTGATCCTGTTGCTTTATACTCTGTTCGACTTGTTCTTTAAGAGGGCCATAGATCTTAAACATACATTCGAAAAATTGGAATGGACCCCACACAAATAGAAAACTCACCTCTTGGATTTTCTCTTTCGATATCTGCTCCTCGTTCAAAATCTGACTCTCAGCCAATGCACGCAAAAGATCATCAGCAATGTCGCAATGAACAGATTTGAAATCCTGAAAAGTTGAATCACTGGAGGCCGCAAAAGCGATAGGAAACGCTTATTACCTTCTCCAACTTCTCTCGTTGTACTTTGATTTCCTGCACTTGGTTCATCAATGCACGCAACTTTGTCACCGCCTCAGATGCACCCGCAACTGAGTGCTGTGTTTGACTGGGGATGGATGAGCGAAGCTCCACCTTAAAACCATTTTTTAATTAAGGATAACCCAGTTCCAAAAAAATATCGATCATCTTGTCGCAAACTGGACATCAATCAAAAAATTCACCTCATTTTTGCTCAGCATTTCAATACCAGCTTTATTCGCCTCGAACTTTTCCTTGACCATTTTATCCGCATTCGATGCAGTGTGCAGTATTCCTCGGTACTTCCCGATTTCCTTAATATCACTGCAGTAAGGTATAGCCAGTTCCGTGAAAAATAAACACGCATTCAAGCCTGCTAAAGTGCCATTACGCCATTACAATGAGGAGAGGGCATTGTGGTGCATTTGCTTTTCGCAAAAAACCACAGTAGACAACTTCTATTATTACAAACGGATAGGGAAAACTTCACCCTAACCTTTAAGGGAAGATCCATTTCACCTACCTAGAATTGCTATCTCCTAATGCCACTTAAAAATCCTCAACTCGTCAACTGATAACTGTTTCATCGCCCATTGCAACACTATCATCCCAATACAAAAAAAATGAAAATGAGGAGAACACAAACTAGGGATATTCTGTGGCTATAGAAAACCCTTGCGCAAGACTCGTATTTCCAAGATCCTACTCATGCAGCAAAATGGCAAGCCTACCCACATCGGATTCACCGCATATAATAAATCACAGAAAATAAACGTTAGCAGGAATAAAGAAATACAGAAGCAAGAGGTCGCTCACTAGAATTAGGTCGTCTGCTGGGGTGAGGGGGGGGGGGGGAGAATAGAATTTTCCATAGAAATATGCACAAGCCTAGATCCAGCCATCACTAAAGCTAAAATACATACCTGTAGGAGTGGCCCCGTCAACTGCTCACTGCTCATTCGAGACCACTTTGTCCCGAACTGACGACGAAGGTTATCATCACTGTCTTTTTCTTCCGTCAGCATACGATTGGTCTAAAATCGAATTAGTAAGAAAGAGCTCGACTAGTAGAGGTCACTGTTAAAAGGGGAACAATACACCCATCACGCACTTCATCCAGAATTTCTTCATTTCTCTTGTAAAGTCCCGGCAGTTCATTGAATAATCGCTGCAGTTCGCTGATACCGCCTGCTTGCTTCACCTAAAATGAAACTCACTTGAAAACTGATAAATTCCGTTCACAAAAAATTCCAACCTTGGCAGATTTTTGTTTTATAGATTCTGGCAATGTATCCATCGATGTAACATCGTCCAGAGCAGCAGGCAAGTTCAATGAAGCCAGAATACTAAAATTAGTAGATAGAGTTCCAGTCAGCTAGAAGCAACTGTAAACACTGCGCAGAGGTAGCTGTGATTCCGCTTGAAAACAGAAAATTCCGGGTTTTATAAGAAACACTGGGCAGGAAGCTAGGGTTGTTCCAAATACAGACATTAAAGAGTAGAACGCCGGTAGAGTAGAATCAACAAATAAAGTCTTTACGGACTACCTTGACTTCTCAAAGGCTTGTGGTGGAAAAAAATATGAAAAAAATTGGATATGCGGGACGCCAAGTATTATATGCCTCCTTTTTTTGAGACAAATGCGACCTGCTTCTAGAAGAAGGCAATCCCACAAAGGATGAAGGTTGTTCAATCCCTTTGTGGGATGCGGCACGCATTTCACTTCCATTCCAATATAACTTCCCTCCAATGAGTCTAACATACTTATTCAGGAAAAATGAAAGCGACCAACCAAAAGGTGGAGGTCGAGTGGTCTAGGTCCCCGCAAAACAACCGTAAGTCAAAGCCATCCCAGTTCAACCTGACCAGGACAGGTCAACAGAACTTCGAACGGAGTCTGACACATGGCACCTCCCAAAAAGGAAGGGTTCATGAGTACCTAGTGATCAGTTCCTCCATATTTGAGAAGAGAGACAAGAAAACATACCCATTCATCAGCTGAGTGTGTTCTCGTAGGCGTCCAGTTTCAATATTTATCAGTTCCGCTTTGCGGCCCTCATAACACTGCATTGCATTGTGAACCTGTACTGGTACGACGCTTGCAAACATGTCTGAAATATGGCTGATACTTTCCTGATACTTTCAGCGAAGAAATTTACGATGATACCAGCTGCCTACCTTTGAACCGTGGAGAGATCGGATGAGTGACCGGAAGAGCCTTCGCCAAAGCAGCTCGCGGTAAAGCAGGAAGAGAACGGAAATCAGCTATGCGTTCATGGTACTGAAACGGGAGAACTAAACCATCAAGAGATACATTTGGTGAGGGGAATTTTAAGTAAGAGAGGCGAAAAGATGTTTCACGTTCAAAAAAAACAGATCAACACTAATAGTAGTTCTTCAGTGAAAGCTTAAGGATAAAAGAAACTAGAGGGAGAATCTGCTCGTAGCCATTCCAGAAAAAAGCTTTATAAAACAGCCGCAGAAGAGATCAGGTACCGCAACGTTAGGAAAACCCCATCAGGAGGGGGTCGTATTTGGTCAATAGGAGTCGGTTGGAGCTCTCGTGGTTCTGCGCCGCAGCAAAAGTACTGCACAACTACTATCTCTGCTAGTTGAAATTGGTAGTTGATTGGTGACGACCATTCCTCGTCGGACGGGAGTTTTTTTGGAGGAAACTAAGGAACTTTTTGGAAAACTCGGGAAAATGGTAGTAGTGAGGGGCAGGCGTACAGACACTACCATTTCACCACGGCGCTGTACTCGGAGAGGAGAGTAACGAAAAAGAAAAAAGGACCTTCCTCTGATCCGTTCATAAACGTTTCGAGTAAATATTACTCAGACGCTTATAGGGGAAAATTAGTGAATTTCACGCCGCCATGTCAAAAGAAGGAAAAAAAAATTAAAATTCGCCAATCACGTACAATAAAATCATTATCCTTCTTAGCTGCGGTGTACATCTTTTGGATTTGATTGAGCTGCTCAGATAAGCAACCAGAAGGCAGATACTTGGCTGCCATCTCTGACAATTTCAAGGCCTCGCCCAGTCGGCTCAGTTGCTCACTCATTTCTTGTTGTTCAGCATTAATCTGCAAACGACGAATATCAGCAAATGAAAAGGAAGAAATAACACCGTCAAAATGATTGCCTCGAAGCATTATAAAACTCACGCTAGCTTGATGTAACTGAGAAATCGCTTGGAAACCAAACATCTTTCCAGTAACAATATGGAGCCATTCCTAGAAATATGATTATAAGTGGTATTGTGATATCTGTACCAGTCAAATACCTTTTCCCACAATCCTTTGACGGCGTCGCGGTTCATGGCCTTGAGGGCGTCTTGATAGAAATCTCCCACTTGCGCTGCGATTTTGACAAGAGCAGATGGTTTCATTTTGTCTAAAAAGTAGTAGCCTATTGGACACGATGTTAACAATATGTCATTTCAAAGACAATTTAAACGCCGGAAGTTTATTAATGATAGAAGAAATAAAGGTTCCTTTCTATAGTCGCTCCCCGCAGGCGACGGGGCGGGTCAAGGGGGTGGAGCTAGGTAGAGCGCGGCGCTAGTCCATTCCCACTAGTTGAAGGGGAAAAGCTACAACAACTGGCGGAAAACAGGTTGGCGCCGCGCCAATCCCAGCCGCCCACCCCCGTTTCCCTGACACCCTCCACTCTGCTGCGAGAACGACTGCACAAAAGAGACTTTTAGAAACCCATATATCAACAATAGTGTTCGCGATATGCCTCTCACCTTTGTAAGCCTTAATGTAGATGGATTCCTGTGCTTGACCAAGCATTATAGCACTGAGAGCAGCCAGCGTATCTGGCATGAGATCAGGAGTAGGATCCTGCTGGACCATTCCTAGTACTGTATCTCGCAAACGAGCGAAAACGCCTGAAATAATCAAATTATAGCTCCGACACATGAAGGAGTGACGAAGAAGTGCAGTCAAATTTATGATTCGGCAATTCAAGCTTCGAAAAAAACCGCTTTGATGTTCAAAGCTTACCAGCACTCTGTTGGAAAAGCTTCGCAGCTGTTTTCATTTCTTCATCGGTCAGAAGGGGCTGAGAAGCCGCTATGTGTGACATCAAGGCACCACAGTTGAATAGAACGGCTGCACGCTCGAATGCACCATCTGATATTGAAAGGGAAGCCTGAATAGGTGTATTGGCTGTAGAACAACTGTAGAACATTCCATGTAGTAAATGAGTAGTCCTCAGTTCTAATTAAATAAGAAAAGTTTTTGAATGATACTGCTTGTTGATTCGCATAGATAACTCTAGTTTGCGAAATAAAATAAATTAGAATAAATAAGCAATAGCTCAATAAACACAATGGTTTATGATTTACCTTGCTGAAGAACAAGCTACCCTTGTCAAATGCGTCCTTCCATTTGAAGACTACGGGATTTTGTGTGGCTGAGATGACAATCTTGTTCTCAATAGCAACGAGTTGATCATAATACCTAAAACAAGTGAATTGTTCGAAACCAGTAAAATCCCTTGGTTACGTTAAGCTTCTACTTCGAATATTTCTCGGTGTTTCCGACGAATGTTCTCGATAGCTGAAAATGCTCGTGACCACTAGCAAGTGTAAATGTCACTGTGTCATTAGCTAGAGCACCACTCCAAAAAGAAGTGGGTCGCTGGAGGGGCACGCCGGGCGATTAGGTCCCCACGTAGAGTAGCCGTTCGATGCGGTCTCACCACGGTGAAATGTGCAAACTAGCAGGAACTAACAGAACAATCAACGGAAGTGCAAAATATCCTATCCCCCCTCCGAGCTGAGCGGCGCCACATCGTAAATGATTATTGTATGTGTCTCCCACGTCGTATTGAGCCCCTGAGGTAGCCTCTTCGGTTGCTGATTTTCACGTTTCACGCGTGTTACATAACACCGATTCTCGTCGTCGCGGCAGACCTACTAATATTTCTGATAATTTATCGGAGGTGCCTCCCCCTCCCCCACCCCCTCGGGGCGGAATTTGTATAAGGAAACGCATCGAGGGAGGAGTTTGGGCGGTCTCTTATACCTAGCCCACCATTTCCTTCATCCGCGATGATGTAGCCGGTGTTTCAAAGGCTGAACCTGATGGGGGTGGGGGAGGGACGCATAACTGTCTAGTAAAAAACAGACGAACAGGCTTAGCCGCATGGTCTCGTGTCCCCACCCCACCCCCTCCCCCAATCCTGAATGCTTCCGTAGCGCGGAAAAATGTACTAAGCGTGTAGAATAGGACCGAGACCGCTAATGCAGCTGCAATCGGACCGGATGTCAGAGCGGTACTGCGGGAAACAAGGTGGTGGCGATTCTATTTGTTTTGCTATGATAATTTGAGTTGAGTAATTTTTAAGTTTTGCATTCCCTGTGTAGACCTACACGGGAACCAAAGGAGAAACTTGTACATGAAGCCCGGCGCATTGTTTTAAATAAGCAATTGCACTTATTGACAAGCTGATGGAGGGAATCCCTGTAATATTACACAGCTGCATTATGCAAACGTCTCGCGGTACATGAATAATTTACCCTCTCGCACATGCTCGAAAACCCCAGCGATAGTATACCAAAAGAAAGAACAGTGCCGGAAAATAGCCCACAGTAAGGAAGAAGCTATGTGAATCGTAAAGTACAGCACAGAAAACAGCAATAAACTCCTACCGTGTGACAATATCCAACGCTGACTGATGTTTATCCAATGGTTGACAACATGCCTTCGACCGTAGCTTGTTCAGTTCCTGAATTGAAAATAAAGGTTTCCTAAAGTGGAAGAAAACTAGTTGCAGTTCTGTGAACATTGGAGGTACTAGATTCTACTCACAGAATTCGAGGCTGCGTTCATACTTTGCGACTCGAGCAATCGAGAACCGTACAACTGTGATCCTGCTAGGTCACACCCATTTAGAACAGAACACCTCCAACTGTTGCAGCTGCCCAACATCTATCGTTGGGAACGGCCGCTCGCAGTCACGCGAATGAGACGCCCGAGTCGCGGAGTACGAAAGATCAAAAAGATTCCAGAGAAATTCGACAATGTTTTATCTACGGTCCGACGAATCAACTATACTCACCCAAGTTTGTAGAAGTAGTTCCTCATTAAGACACTGCACTAAACGCTTAAAACCCTTACACTGCTATCCTTACTGCGTTCCCCCACTTCTCCTGCACTTCCCTACCTATAGTACCAAACAGACTTGCAACAAGCTGAGAAATCACCTGTTTCACCAGCTTTTTTCACTTGTTGATTCTCAAACCGAATGAACCAGCAGGCAACCCGCGTATATATTCCACTTACGAGAAAAAATTTCTGCGGATGAATTTAATAAAAGCCGATAAAACTCTCAAAAAACAACTACCGGCCTGTTTCGTGTTTTTTCTGCCAGTACCGTATCTGTACCAAAACCCTTCTGTGAATGCTCCCTTTCAATGACCATTCATATATGCTTGAGGAGAACCAGTTCGTTGGAGAGTAATGCGAAGGTATTACGGGAAGCATGGCAACAGTACGCAACTGGAACTGACCCTTTCTTCAACATGCGCGCCCTATAGGTTTACGATAAACCTAGGACCCCAATGCCGCATCAAGACGAAAAGCAATGGTTTTTTGAACATATCTAGCGTACCAGTCCTATACTGATAAGATAAAAGTTGTTCAGAAGATCATAAGGTGCTAGGGAAGAATGGAAGGTTATCTTTGCTTTCAAGCAAATGTTTTTGTTTGTAGACTTTTCTTTGGTTTTTCTGATTCATGTGCGGTGCTATCTTTCCCTCCCCTTCGTATTTTGAAGAAAATTTTCCCTAACATTATGACATGGCTCGTTCACAATACATTATGGCGCGACCAAAAAACATAAGCTCATTGTGTGCCACCTACATGCGCTTATCTCCCCACCCTTGAAAAGATCTTTTCAACATCAATCAATAGTCGGTCAGCGATTTTATCTGTGATAAGCAGTAGAAGCTGCCTTCTAGTTACAAAAAATGGGCGAAGCTCAGCTTCGGGGGAGGCAAATGATACCCCGGGATGTTGTACAGGACACTTTTAAACACCCTGCAGATTGCTGTTGGAGCAGCTCACATGTACCACTTCACAGTTTTACAAGAGTTTACAGGTCTCACCAACCTGTTAGTTCATAGGAACTAGCGAAAGTGCAAAATGTCCCTCCTAAACTAGCAGAGGCCAACAATGTATATCGACAGATCAATCAAGCACTCATAGAGTCTAATAACTTACAGAGAAATCAACGTGGTAGCATTTTGTAAACGGTTGAGAGAAAATAAACTCACTTGTACAGCTTCAGCAACTTCCGCCTTGTTATCCTCTGATGTTTTATAAATTGTATCAATGTATAATGTCAACGGTTTCACTAAATCCACATCACTAGTGGATTTTAACGGTACAGCTAGAAAGCCGTATTGATTCATCTGAAAAGCAAAGTTGAAAGATGATTGTCAACACACAGAACGACGTTTTAATAACCATTTAATATTGGCAAAAACTGAGTCAGCAAAGGCAGTGAATCATTCGAAGAAGAGAGCTGATAATGATCAAGCGACCAAAGATGTGAAAACTAGATCTTATCAAATTACAACCAATTAATCAACCTTAAAAAATAGAGGTTCTTAGAGGAACGAGACCAAATTCACTTCTATATGGGACAGTTTTGGAGACCTAAGCGCACGGCAATTTTCTCAAGGTTTCTCTCTATAGAAGTAAAAGCAGCAGTCTTATTTAGTAAAGAAGCAACCAAATAAGCGAGCTGTCAAAAAAAAACGAAAACTGGTAAACCTGTTCAATGCAATCACTTAAGAGGGTCTTTTTAAAGCGGTAGGCACTGCTGCAGCTGACGGGAGCCTTGCGGCAGCAGGACTGTGAGGTCTTTCTTCCCAGATTCGCCTGGGAGTCATGGAGGTAATAAGACGCGCCGCTGCGTAGCCTCCCCCCCCCCGTCCCACCTCCTCTACATCAGCTACGCCAGGGAGAGTGTTTTCCATTTCTTTCACTTCTTCTTCAGTGCTTACTGAACTACCTGCATTGTTGGAAGAATCCCATCAAGAGATCTTACTTAGACGCTGAGGGGGGGGGGGAATTCTAGCAATACTGAAAAAAGTTTCCGAGCTGTGAGAAAACCTTTCCGGGTGCTGTTTTTCTCAATTTTTCGTTAAAGGTTCGCTAAACCACCTCACCCTTGCACGAACAGCGGCCGCAGAAATACCATATAGCCAATACTTTTGATACTTGGGTAGGATGCGGAGGTGGGTCGCAGCAGATGGGCAAATCTGATGTGGGGGGAAGCTGCATTGGCACTACCTTTCACACATCACTACACTGAACCCTGATACCATGACACACTACTCATCCCGAGCTCCACAACAAGCTTTCCATCAGGTAACGGCCTGTAATTGCGGAAATTCTGCGGAAGATGCCCCGTTTCAGAATCTCCTCCTCTGGTACGACTCCCTCCCTCACATTCCCATCCCGTCAACCACCCACTTCCCACCACTTTTCCGGGGGTGGGGGTTAGACGTTCTTCCCTGAGAAAGACTTCTTCCCAAAAAAGTGCTGTCAGGCGAAGGGAAAGGCGGGTATAGCCCATGCGAAACAGGAAAAACCCAGAAAAATTAACTAGAGAAAACATTATTTTCAAAGGCAAGTATTCACCCCTCTAGTAGGGGCTCCCCAACATATGACGTGCCCCAACCCCGGAACTACATACCCTACTTCTTCTGATCCCCTCCCAACCCAGAATAAGGTTCAAGAGGAAGAGCCAAATAAGCAACCGGAAAAGATATCTATAAAAAATAGAAAAGAACTTGAAATTCATTTTGATAGCCTTCTTCTGGTTTCCATAGAGGTTGTCACGTGGGACATCAGTGGAAGTCTAATGTTTCGACCAAACCCTCTTCTTCAAAGACTCAATTAAGCATCGCAAACGGCGCCGGCTAGTTGTTATGGATACAATTTTTCTAAATTGTAACAGAAGAGCAGGAGACGAGGTCCTATTTATTGGACTGAACAGCTGTTACTCGTCATTTTACGAACTGTTACGAAACTTCTGATAGAAATATCAAGTAAAGAATCAATTGCAATCAATGTGAATGAGTCATCGGAGAGGGAAGATGTGCGTCCGTACGCCGGACGGAGATGGCGCCCCACCCCAGCCCGACAACTGTCCCGCTGCCCTGAACCGTCCATAGATTGCGTCAGAATTTGCCAGCTTCAGAGCTACCCTAAAACCGGTTTCCAGCTCAAAATAAACCGAGTGAGTCATCGACAAAATCGGGATGAATCCGAGTATGAGGGGTTCACCGTCTTATTTCAATGCATCCGGCTCAAGAAATCGCATTAGGCTTCTGAAAGTAGCCCCCTCTGAGCGTCTGAAACCTAACGACCAAATGAGAAATTACTTCGAGTTGTTCCCGCAAAGCCTAGGACTAAGACATTCGAAAATGCTGCAAAGCATGAAACAGAGGAAACATTAACTTAATAAAATGCCCAAGAGAGCGAACTTTGCTTCAAAATTGAACTCCTCACGAGATTTTCAGTCGGACTTAGACACCTTTGCAGTAATCTGAAACTCACTGCGAGAAACTCGTCCGCAAACTTTTCGTGTTGCAGATTTAGCTACGAGTCTCAAATGAGAAATACGATTCTATTGAGATATTCCGATTCCTAGGTCTCATCGAATTTTTAAGGACGTGAGAAAACCCACACCTACGAAAAATGTCAAGAAACTTGCTATGAACTGAAAAATCCTTCAAAACTTCAACCTGTACGAATAACATTTGTGGCACCGTACAAAGAAAAGAATAAACTGATCCAGAAACCTTCTACACCTCTCTACCGATAGCGTCAGCTAGCGCTGCAGATCGCTAAAATGATAAGTTGAAGCCCTAAAACACTGAACGCCCGCAAACCGCAATAAAAAAATCATCTGACTGGAACTAGGCGTGACATATTGCGTTGGTCGCAACTGCACACAAAGTGTTGTCCTACAGCGCTACCGTAATCAGCGATATTAGAGTTCTGTGAGGAGGAGCTTTTGTCTGTAATTCAGTTCATTGTCAGAGAGTACGCAGGTAACCCTCACTAACCGATATCGATGGGATGCGCCAAGCAACCGACTTGATTTTTCATCTTTATTCTTTCATCCATGAAGAAAAATCGTTGCAGATGAAAATTAGTTGACTATGTTGAAAAATTGAACAGAGATGAGAAATATCGAGGGGGAGGATGGGAAAGGTCCGAAAGCAAAGAGGTAACTCAGCTTTTGTTTCGCACGCGCATTTCAGTTGGATGTACGTCTTGTCCATTTTTGCGGATACGATAAAATTTTTGGCGCTAACGTGATTATCGGGGACCACTCAGCCGCGCCTCTGAATCTAATCCCCGACCGAAAAGACTTGAGCCTAGAGCACAGGCTACCAGAGTCGCAGAGGGATAGACCCACAGAGAGTAAATAGTTCCAACCTTGAATAGGGAAAGAGATACAGAGACGTGGCTGGGTGGTCAACCCCCTCCCCCCCCCGCTACGATGGCTCCTCTTGAAGTTCATGGGTTCTTTCTTCCAGGCAATACCCTCTTTGAGAAAAAGAAGCTCGCCACATACAAGTAGAGGTGAGGACCTACGCTCGTCCCACATTTGACTTTTTTCTCCGCCTGCGAACGCGTGCAAACATAACCCCTTCTCGTCTTCTACCTGTCTATAGACACTTGAACTCGATACTTCAAACCACATCAATTGTCTCCACCTTCTGCGCATCATTATCACTGGATCCTCCCCTTTAGAGTTTCCCCTTGATGAGCCTCATCCTCGGGCTCATAATTTGTTTTTTCCGTACACTGACAGGCGCTGTACCTCTTCTGTCCGCAAGGCAGAAAGTTCAAGTATTTACCTAACAAATCGGGTTTTTTTGGTTCAAGAGCCGTGACCCTTTGTGACATCTATCTATAAACTCTCTTTGTCATAACACTCCTTGTTTCCGTGCGCCAACATATGTCGAACTATCGTCGAGAGGGGAAATTCGATGATTACTCACAGCGTTCTTCCGTCTCATAAATCGGCTCGTCGGTCTCATA